CGCAGGCAACTTTGTCGCGGCAGCATGTAATCGTATAATTGGTGAGGTTAGTTGAAGAAAAACATAACAAAACAAGGCACATCGCACACATTGCGGCACACATATATATACGTTGACAAAACGTGTTCCTTGCGCGACGACATTTGTCGGCGCGCGCGCGCCGACATATGTCGGCGCGCCAGCATGTGAAACACGCAAAAAGAAACAAACGTATTGCGCAAGCAAATGAAAGCAATACTAATATATCGTAGGCTACTTTGTCGCGGCAGCATGTAATCGTATAACTGTTGAGGTGAGTCGAAGAAAAACAAATCAAAAGAAAGCACATCGCACGCATTGCGGCACATATATATGCGTCGAGAAAACGTGTTTCTTGCGCGCCGACATTTGTCGGCGCGCGCGCCGACAAATGTCGGCGCGCCAGCATGTGTGCACAAACACGCAAAAAAGAAACAAACATATTGCGCAGGCAAATGAAAGCAATACTACTATATCGCAGGCTACTTTGTCGCGGCAGCATGTAATCGTATAACTGGTGAGGTTAGTTGAAGAAAAACATAACAAAAGAAAGCACATCGCACGCATTGCGGCACACATATATATATATAGACAAACGTCGACAAAACGTGTTCCTTGCGCGCCAACATTTGTCGGCGCCAGCATGTGTGCACAAACACGCAAAAAGAACAAACATATTGCGCAGGCAATGAAAGCAATACTACTATATCGCAGGCTACTCTGTCGCGGCAGCATGTAATCGTATAACTGGTGAGGTTAGTTGAAGAACAACAAATCAAAAGAAAGCACATCGCACGCATTACGGCACATATATATACGTCGACAAAACGTGTTCCTTGCGCGCCGACAAATCGCCGACAAATGTCGGCGCGCCAGCATGTGTGCACAAGCACGCAAAAAGAAACAAACATATTGCGCAGGCAAATGAAAGCAAGATTATTATATCGCTGGCTACTTTGTCGCGGCAGCATGTAGTCGTATAACTGATGAAGTTAGTCGAAGAAAAAGAAGGGAAAAGAAAGCACATCGCACACCATGTGGCACACACACACACGCACGTCAACAAAACGTGTAAATGTTGGCGCGTGCCAAATGTCGGCACGCATACGCGCACAAACACGTGGAACGAAACAAACATATCGCGCAAACAAACGAAAGCAAGACTACTATATCCCTGGCTACTATGTCGCGGCAGCATGAGGTCCTACTTCTGATTGCAGTGTTCATTTTTTCCTGTTTGTGCGCACATGCTGCCGCGCCGTCATTTGTCGGCGCGCGCGCGCCGACATTTGTCGGTCGGCGCGCGAAACACGTTTTGTTGGCGTGTGTGTGCGTGTGCCACATGGTGTGCGATGTGTTTTCTTTTGCCTTGTTTTTCTTCGACTAACTTCACCAGTTATACGACTACATGCTGCCGCGACAAAGTAGCCAGCGATATAATAGTCGTGCTTTCATCTGCCTGCGCAATATGAGTGTTTCTTTTCACGTGTTTGTGCACACATGCTTTGTCGGTCGGCGCGCGCGACTGCTGCACTGAGCGCGCTGAGCGTGAAACTTACAGAAGTCGCATGGCCGATGATCGGAGAACCGCCCTGCCGCTCGCGCCAACAAATGATGGCGCGTCCAGTCGCCAAAACTCGCAGCTTGGGCGAAACTAATAGAAATCATTTCGCTCAACTAGATCACGGCATAGCTACTCTGCCGCCGACAATTGACGGCACGCGCCGAGAAATCGCCGCCCAGCCGAGAAGCTCGTTTCAAGAGTTTTTGGAGCCGGTCTTCTTGCTGATGGGCCGCCGTTGCGTAGCAGTTGCTCTTTGTCACCAGCTTGCGCTTTGCGTGAGTGCTGGAGTCGACAGCAGTGCAGCAAGGCAATAGCAGCGCGCACCCCTGGTCCTTGGCGCCAGTTTGGGCTTCGACTGCGTGCTGGCATTTCAGCACTCAATGTGGCAATCAAAGCACGGAAAACCGACGGCAATGCAGAGCGCCGGCAAATGACGGCGCGCCCTCTGCTTAGCCAGACTCTGGACAAACAACACGCAACGGCGCGCCAATAGTCAGAGACACGCGTGGCGTGTTTGTCTGTGTGTGTGTGTCTGTGTGAAAGTAAGTAGAAGATGCTTTGCAGGTAAGTGACGGCAAGGCTGCTTTACTGCACCAGTGTTTTGCCACAGCAATTCCACATGTGCGAAGCTATAACGAAATTCGAGTTCGCAGGCAGATGCCGACAAGACTGTTCTACCGCTTGGACAGACATGGTGTGTGTGTGTGTGCGCGCAGTAAACAAACATCGCTTTGCAGGCAGATGACGGCAAGACTTCTCGACTGCGGCGCGCCTATCTCTAGTCAAAGAAGCTCGTGGTTCGCGTGTGCAGATGACGGCAGGACTGCTCTACTGGCCTACAACTCATCGCTATGCATGTAGTCAGAGAAACTCGTGCTAGGTGCGAAAGGAAAATAAACCACTTCGCGCAGGCACGACGGCAGGACTGGTTTACCGGCCGCCGCCTAGCCAAGAAGCTCGCTTGGGGGTCGCGAGTTTAAGCCTCTGCGAATTAATGGCCTGTCCTGCCCCCCCTCGCCAATGCAAAAAACAATGTAAATATTAACTGTGGAGAGTTGTTTTGAGCCAGCGAAAAAAACGTTCACTGTAACGCAGCCAGTTGTCCCTGAAACAAAAGCCAGTGCATTTGTGGAGCTTGTCTTCTGGCGTGCCAGTGCGTCTTTGGTGGGCTGCCGCTACAAAGCAGTTGTTCCTTCATCTATCTATCTGCAGCTCGCATGAGTGCTGGAGTTTCTGCGGCATTCGGAAGTAGTATAGCAAAGCAGTAGCAAAGCAAAGTGCCTGCAAATGGCGGCGCGCCTTCCCTCTGCGTAGCCAGGCAAAGAACAACGACGGCGCGCCAGTGCAAGGTCACAGACATTTGCGGCGTGTGAAGTTACTTCACGCGGGCAGACGATGGCAGGACTGCTCTATTGCTCGCGCCGGTGAGTCCGGCAAATGACGGCGCGCCAGCATCTAGTCCCAGAAAATAGTGGCGCGTGTGAAAATACAAAGAAGCCACTGAGCAGGCAACAGCGGGCTCTACTATGACGGCGCTCCAGTGTCCAGTTACAAAAACTCGGCGTGTGTGCGCGCGTGTGTGCGCGCGAAATTAGAAGAAGCCATTTCGCGCTGGCACGCCGCTGCAGAGCAATTGTGTCTTGTCGTCAGCTTTTGCGTCTCGTCTCACATGAGTGCTGAAAACCGCCGACATTGTTCGGCGTGCCGGAGACCAAAGAGAGGAGAGAGGATAACCCCCCCCCTAACCCCCCCGGGACACGTCAATTACATAAGGTTTGGGGGCCGCCCCCCGTACCGCGCGGCAATTCAGTGACGGCCTGATAAAAAAACAGTCTTTGGGGAGCGGCTCTGGAGAAACAGGGGGTCCCCGGCTCGAATCCCCCTACCGCCTCTCTGTCGGCTTGGGTGTTGCGCTTCCTTTTTTGCTGAAAACCTTAAAAGAAACTCAGTGTTGTCTTAACATCCTTTTTGCGAAAACGTTGACACACATACATACATACATACATACATACATACATACCATTACATTACATTACATTACATTACATTACATTACATTACATTACATTACGTTACATTACATTACATTACATTACATTACATTACATTACGTTACATTACATTACATTACATTACATTACATACATGCATACATACATTACATACATACATACATACATACGTACGTACGTACATACATACATACATACATACATACATACATACATACATACATACATACATACATACATACATTATATACATTATATACATACATTACATTACATTACATTACACTACATTACATACATGCCACCATACATTACATACATACATTACGTAACATACATACATACATACATACATACATACACTAAATACATACATTACATTACATTACATTACATTACATTACATTACATTACATACATTTACATTACATTACAATACGATACAGAAGAATACAATACATTGCATACATGCATACATACATACATGCATACATGCATACAATGCATACAGTGCATACATACATACATACAAACATTACATACATACATACATACATACATACATACATACATACATACATACCTACATACATACGTACATACATACATACACACACATACATACATACATACATACAGACATACATACTTACTTCGTGACTTACTTACTTACATACGAGAGAGGTAGATTGGGGAGACAGAGGCTTGGGGGGATGGGGAGGATGGGGAGCGGAGGGAGGGAGAGAGGACGACAGAACACACAAGGGAGACAAGGGAGAGAGGAAGAAGGAGAAAAGGGAGAGGACAATGTCGGCGGACTGAGCCGAAGGATGTAAAGTTTCAGCGTTCAGCGTGGCCCGAAAGCACTTATACCACCACACTAGCGGCACTGTGAGGCCAGCGCGATATCCGAGGCGCAAGTCGCATTCACGCCTGAATGCAAGCTCCAGACACAGCCCAAGTCTGATCAAGGCTTTTCGCAGTGGAATTCCAAGACGCCAAATCGACATGATACCTGGGGCCGTCGCGACAGAAGGCCCGAGTGCTGGAAGCAGGCATACCTATTGCCAGCATTCAAGGCGAGTGTGCCAGGCAGTTACGCTTCATGTCAATCGTGAAGCTTGACGCGTGGGATGCGCTGACATAAGTGCCTTCCTACGCGATCTGCTTGATCTGCATATTCTGAGTTACACTTACGGCCAACAGAGGCACCCGCGGACCCACACGAGCTGCATAAAGAACAACAAGTTGAGCTGAAAGCTAGCCGTGGAAACTGAAGGTCCTGCGCACGTCATGTCCACTGCGTCCGCCCGCTTAGTTGCTGCCAGAACATCCGGCGCCCCTAGACAGTCAAGCGACATGGGACTTGAGCTTTTTTGGAGACAATGTTGCACATTCTTATCACCTCAAAGCGCTGATGCTGGGAGCCGCTGGGAGCCCTGCAGGTTGGAAGTCTCACTGGCGGACTTGGTGTTGACCTGCAACGCAGCTCTCGCGGCTAGAATCTCGCTGAGTGGGACTGGGGACCCAACCGGACGTTGATGTGCTTCAGATGGTCAAGGCTGAAGATCTCAGAACGCTGCTCGCCACTTGAGGCTCCCTTAGTGCCGCCAAGGCAAGGCACCCCTTGCAGGGACAGGAGTGTCATCCCCGAACATGCCACCGCATCAATGGCACTCTAGCCTGCGCTGAGACCAGCGCGACATTCAAGGCGCAGGTCGCGCTCACGGCCTGAGCGCAAAATGCGAACACAGCAACGTCAGGAATTCTGAACAGCAATTCCTATGATACCGGGTTTGGCCTGCTTTTACACTCGCCAGAGACTAAGACTAGAGTCGAAGTGGAACATCGCTACACTGGGGCCGTCACGACAGAGTGGGCATCCGAAGTGCTGGAAGCAGGCGCGCCTGATGCGCGCCAGGCGGTTACAATTCACGTCAAGGGCAAAACTTGACACACGGGAATATTCTAAAACAAGCACCTTTCTATTTGGTTTGCCTCATTTGGTTTACTCAGTCTACCCTTACAGCCATACAGCCACCCTAGAAGGCGGCGCCCCTAAAATTGACACACACGAAATGGGCAAGTTGAAGGAGCGCGGCAGAGCTGCCAAGTGAAACAGTCATGGGCGCTGCACATTCCACTGTGCCAACCCGCGTAGTTGCAGCCGAATCACCGCCATGCGGCTCCCCTTTTGAGACGGCGTTGAGGAGCCCCTAGCGTTCGCCAAGTCAAACGGAAAGCAAGCCTCCAAGTTGCATGTGACCCCCTTGCTTTCTTCACACTGAAATTGAGCCCCCCAAGGGTAGCTCGGCTGAAAACAGTGTCTTGTACAATTGTCTTGTAGAACTTGACACCAAGAACTTTCTGCCATCCATGCTGATGCTGGGCGCCCCTGCAGATTGAACGTCCTGATGAAGCCGCCGCAAGCACTCACGCCAACGGCGTGATGGAACTTTGTTGACCTGCAACGCAGCTGACAGTTGGCTGACATCACTGGGTCTGTAGAAAAGGTCACATGTCTTTTTTTGCGGTCGTTTATGGACCCTGCCCCGGACAAAACGTCGTTATGTTTGGAAAAGCCAATTTCATTGCGGCTGATCTTCCATCCACTGGTGGCGGCTTCCCAGACACCCAGCTGACAGTAAGTGCAGTTGGGGGATTGAGGTGAGCCCGGGCGTCCCTGGTTGTTTCGCAACAAAAAGGAACACAAATGTCCTGACGCAAGTTCCATTTGTGGCCGCAAAGAGGGGCTCCCAGCAGCTGCACAGCCAGCTGGCAGAGAAGCGGAAAGAGGTGTCCAGAAGCCAGGCTTCAGGCTTGGGTTTTGGGGGGCCCTGCTTGGGCCAAAACTAACCCATCCTGCGTAGAGTATTGCGCTAGTTGGGTTGGAGGGGACAAGTCGAGTTGGCACATTTTATTTTTTCTTCGTTGATAGGGTCCCTCACTGAGTATAATCATGAAATAATGAGCATAACGATAACACAATAGCGAGCAAGGTAATCGCAATAAAGACGGTACATACGTGTAAAATACTTATTTGTTTCTCTGAACTAGCATATGTATATTTAGATATGTATATATATATATATATATATGTACATACTATATATATATATATATCGGCGAAGTGTCGTTAAGAGTTGAACGCAGTACGAACTGCGCGTTGGAGCCGTGTCTGAACTGCACTTTGGGACGCCCCTGAGAACATAGTTTCCCATTGCCCAGCGCCGAGCAGGCTTTTTTTTGTGCGCCCAGAGTTGAACGCAGTACGAACTGCGCGTTTGGAACCGTGTCTGAACTGCACTTTGGGACGCCCCTGAGAACATAGTTTCCCATTGCCCAGCGCCGAGCAAGTTTTTTTTGCGCACCCTAAAGATCTATAGCTTTATCTGGGTAAAAGAGCGGTTGCCGATGCCGATGTTGCCGTGCTTGCCCGCATTAGTTTGGGCAAAGTACTCAGAAAGACTTTTGTTTCAGGCTAGGAGTGCGTCAAGTGCGTATCATCTGGCTGGCTGGCTGGCATGGATACAGTGCTCAGCGGGCGCGCGCAAGCGTGTGTGCTTACCATTTGCCTGCATGGATACAGTTCTGAGCGGGCGTGCCCTTTGGCTGGTATGGATACAGTGCTCAGCGGGCGCGCGCGAGCCCTGAAAACGTCAAAGCTCGCGACGGGCTAAAGCTGCGATATGCGATACGTGGCAACTACCAGTATACACAGCTGCCCGAAGAGGTAAAAAACACATGAATTCACGGCGGCTTTCGCACGATGCGTGGTGGATACCAGTGCACGCAAATGCATTTACAGGCAACTCTGAATGATCCTCCACCCACATATCCCACATATATATATATATATATCACAGGTCATAGACGTAGGTCATAGCTCCTAAAGCAATTTCCGCAATCGACTCGGCAAAACCCAGCTTTCGCTTCAAACGTGATGTTTCTCGGGCTTCAAAAAAGTCCGTAGTCCTTCAGCCAATGTTTCTCACTTGGGAGCGCATTCAACGCTCATAAAGCAGCAGAATCCCGGGCTCCCACAAGTAGTGTTTCTAGAAACAAACAGGCGCGAAGAGCCAAGACTTGAGAAGGGGGCGAACGAAAGCTAGGCATAGTTGCTACCCAAGCCTGGACCAGGTTCTAATGAAGCATGTTCCCTAGCCCCTAGCCGCAAGCAATCGCAAACTTTCTATAGGGGTTCTATAGTATAAAGTGGGAGTTTGCGAAAAACGTCCACAACATGACGGCGGTTGCAGAACAAATTCTCTGCAAAATGAGCCCCCGGAATTCCACAGTTTTTTTTTCAATTTTACCAAGCGGTCACCACAAAATGGAGGGACTTCAGGTAGGGATCTATGTCATGGCGACCGCCCCTGAAATTCAAGTGTCTTTTTGTAGTGGGCGAGCTGGCTCTCAATCCTACAAGTGTCCCAAATGGGTTGGACAGACGTTCTGCTCGGGAAGTGATTACCAAACAATTGCATACAAACCCAAACAAAACCATAACCAGCAATCTTCTTCCCTCGCATCCACCGCGCAAAACTTAATGGAGGCATAGTCTGCCAACAGCACCGGCTGACTGCACGCGCCGATGCCAGAGACCGCAAGGCAGTTGCTGGGCGGCCCCATGACAGGAGTGACCTAACCAAGCAAAACCCCTGAACAAAATTGGTTGTTTACTACAAAATGTTCCACTAAAACAAACACCGTTTACACGGAGGTCAACCGCTACCATTACACAGGGGGGAATTTCAGATAAAGACACAACACCGACGAAAGGATGTTGGCAAAGCAATACGCTCACCAACAAGAGAGTTCAGAACCAGCGGACCTGTTTGCCCCCATCCACAAAGAAATGGTCCCTCTGACTTGGCTGGCGAGGTTCCTCAAGTTCCGTATGAATTACCCGGCGGGCGTCTGAGGTTTCCCTCAATTCCAAGGGATGGGGGATTGTCAAACCCAGCGGGCCTGGTTATGTGGACCGGGGCCTCTCGCTATACAAATGGCGGTCGGCGCGCGGTGTACTGGAATCCCGCCAGGCCGTGCCTCTGGAGCTTGCTCAACTTTTCTGCCTCCGCCAAGAGCCAATCGTAGAGAGCCCCCCTTTGTTTGTCTTTTCCAAGCGTTGCAAAAAAAGGCTAGTAAGCATATTCAGTAGCTAAGGCAAGTGTTCAACTCTCTCGGAAATTCGCTGCAAATAGCCACACTGCGCCCAGAGGACCAAAGTTTTGGCCGTGGAGTCGACTTCGAACATGAAAAAAAAAGTGGGGTAAGGGTTGATTCCTTGTGAGCCGCTCCCTCTTCAGAAAAAGAAAAGCTACAAAAGGACAGGAGAAAAGCTACAAAAGGACAAGGTGCTCGGCGCCTCTTCGCATCATGGGCCGTGCATTTCTTGCAAAAGAACAAAGGCCAAGGGTGGGCGCAGTCAAGACGTCAGCCAAGCTCGGCACAAACAGCTACCTGGATGCACACGGCCATGCGTTTCCGGCGTAGAAGAAACCTGAGGCAGGAGCCGGTCATGTCAGGTAAACACTACCACGCGTTTCACGTGCCTTTGACCCGACATCCAAACAACAGAAAAAAACATGATCTCTCTTACCCTGCTCGAGTGGCCACTTGCCCTGTGACGCTTAGGCCGCTCTTTTCTTCTTCTCACCTGCCGCGACGCACACTGCACTGGACACCAGTGCTGACCCCTTTGAGTTGACTGCGCACTACCTCCGCGCGCATGCGCGTGGTGTGTTCAGCCGACTGCCTCCCAATCGCAAAAATGCCTCCCGGTAATGATAAGCTTCATGTGTCAACCTAGCAAGCTCCTCTTCCATGCAGGATTGCTCAGTCATTGTGCCCTTGTGCGCCTGAGGTTTGTCATAGCACTGGCTCGCTGGGCTGACTGGCTCTGAGTCAAGGGTCCATGGGTCTGCTGCAAGCAGGCCCTTCGTGGCTTCATCTCACGCCAAGGACTCGGGCGATGCGGGCGCTGCCTGCCACCCCTCGTCCTGCGTGCCGTCATCTGGCGCCAAGGAGTGGCGTGGGAAGCCCGCCCCCCAGGGCGACGCAGGCGCTAGTTGCAAGCCCTCATGAAGCAGGCCCTGCGTGGCTTCATCTGGCGCCAAGGACTCGCACCCCTCATAAGCCAGGCCCTGCGTGGCTTCATCTGGCGCCACAAACGGCGAGAGCTCGGAAGGCTCCCACACCATCACTGCACACTGAACAGCCCGCGTCCTTTTCTTGCTGCGCCCGGATGATCTGGGCCTCCCACAGCTCTTGCGGTTCTTCTCGTAGATCTTGCGAAGCGCCTTTCTGCGTTCGTCTGGGTCGCTGATGTGGGCAACCAACGGCGCAAACCTCGAAGGCAAGATTTGCGCGCTCTTTCTCCTGCAGGGCGCAGCAGGACTCTTGCCATAGATCCGCCGCCGAGCGGGCGCGAGCATCCCGCGTGCAGAATCCAGGGCCCGCTGCAACAACTAACAACTGTTGTTGAGTCATCAAGCGACCCTTCTTAGGTTGTGCTTCTTTGACCAACCTAGACCGCTGCGTGATGCTTGTGAGTCTTGCCACTGCCGCCGAGCCAGAAAAAAAACTACAGGCGCCAATCCAAAAACTGAGACCCTCAAAGAGCTGCAGCATTGCCCTCCCACACAGCCACCAGCCATCACCCGGCCTTGGGGGCGTTTGCCACCAGTCCAGCGTGCGCGCGGGAAAGCGCCTCCACCAACAAAGGCTGGCGGGGACCCTTGCAACTTGCTGCCTGAAGCAAGAACATGTTGGGACAAGCTGCAGGTCATTGCAGAACACACATTCCTGCTTCTCTGCAGCGTCCACCGGCGTTCACCAATCAACATCAACCCCAAGACAGGTACACACCATGTGATCAGACCCCCAGTCTGCAGCAGAACTGCCCTCAATGTCCAGGACAATAGAACTTCAGAGGAATCTTCATTTGGGGACCTCTTTGATAAGTGGGGAAGTAAAGGCCGTTGAGCAGTGGCTCCATATGAATCTGCCAAGTTTTTCTCCGTGAGTTCCCCATGTGCTGGACATTTTCGCTGGCTCCACTTTGGTACTGCGTGTCTCTCCCAGGCCTGCGCTATTTGGCGCCCGGGCGCTAAACCAAAGCGGTAGCTTCGGACGGAGTCGCCCCTCAGTTGGCTTCTAGGGCTTCCCATCCTAAAACAGTAGCCGCCACGGGGCCAGATCCCTTGTGATAGAAGCGCTGCCAAGATACAGCCCGTGTTGCCCGAAGGAAAATTGGACTCCCCTGGAAAACTGGTGGAAAAAAGATCACGAAAAAAACCCTCGCCTTTGGGGGCCACATTTTGCCAGAGGACCGCCGGAAACCGTTCACTCCCAGCAAGCCTCGAAAACCTTCTCACCTTTGAACATGGTTTGACGCACCCTCCGGAGCCGACCTGTCCAAAACGGAGACGTGTTTCCTGAATATCAAAAGGCGCCACGGGCTTCTGATGGGGACTCAACGCCCCTCAGAGCGTCGAGTTTAGGGTAATCACAAAACAGAATCCTGCTTGGGCAAAGGCTGGCGTGCAAGCAAGACGTCTGTTTTGCGCAAGTAAGCATCTCCACAAGTAAATTACCGAAAGAGAGGCCTCTGAGCTACAATCCCCACCATGTCCCACCGCATCTGAGGTTCCAGCTGTTGCAGCATATCCGCCCGGGTGAGACAGCTTATTTTACCGACTTCTCAGTGGTTCTGTGGAGTGCAATGTTGTAAGTGTTCGTCTAAACAAGCGTGAATCTTGAAACGCAAGCGAGGAACAATATTCTAGTTGTGTGGAACAGCCTGCTTGCGGAGGTCAGAGGCTGTGAGGGGCGACGCTCGGCCGCGCACGCACAATGCCCAAGCCTTCTTGGAAGCCGCCTTTACTAGATTTCTGTTTCGAGCGCTCGCGCCCGCATGACCCAGCATCAGAGCGAACCCCCATGAATTGTCCGTGAGTAACATCCCACCGCGAACATCCTTCCAAGTTGCGGATTTGTGCCAGAAGTGTGCTTTGAATGTTTTGTAAAACATTAGAAAAATGCAAAATGTGCTAACCCGGTTCAGGGGGGGACCAAAAGGACATTCAGAACAACACTACCATCTCGGCAGGTACGTCTGGCTGATCAGGCCAGATATCAGCGCAGGTCACGACCCTCTTCGTTGGGTCACCGGTCGTGACTGCGGGTGACCCCCCTGCAAGATAAACTGTGGTGGCAGGGTATTCTGCCACTCCGCACACACACACACAAAACAGCAACAATGACAGTGACAAGTAGCCAACGGCAACAGAAATCAACAAGAAACAGCTAGCAGTGTTGACAAACTCGCAACAAATCAAGACCAATCAATAGCAAGCAACAGAGAGCAACAACAACCTACAGCAACGAAGATGCCGACAGCAAGCAACCAACGATTGAAACAGCCATTAGTCGACAGCGACCAACCACACGCCACGGCAAACAGTAGCAACCAATTGCAGCAGCAACCAGCAACAACAAACGGCTAACAGCTAGCAACATCAACCAACAGAGACAAAGCCAATCAACGGCAACGAAGATCCAACATTGCCCAACAGCAAGCAACGTCAACGGAAACTAACCAACAACAAAGAAAATGGCAAGCACAGGCAACCAACTCAGACCAACTGCAAACAACAGCAGCCAATCTCAGCAAACAAAGCAGAGTCAACCAGCGGGAACCACAGCAGCCAGCAGCAACCACCGGCGGTCGACAAGGCAGCAACGGACAGCAACCAGCAACAACCAGCAGCAAACAATAGTAACCGACTGCAACCAACAGCAGCCAACAGTCAGCGACATCAACAGCAACCAGCGGCAGCCAATAGCCAATAGCAACTACCCTCAGCAGAGAGCGAGAGAGAGAGCAAGAGAGACAGAGAGTAACGTCAACCAACAGCAAGCAACGTCACCCAACACCAACCAACAGCAGTCAACACCCAACAGCGACCAACGGAAACCAGCACCAAACAAACAGAAACACGCAACAAGCAGCGACTGCCGCGATGGATGGCAAGCCAGCCTTTTCGTGGCAGCTTTCCGGGCGTCTCTTCGAGAATCGTTTAGTATGGGCTGCTAAGCAAGAAAGGAAACGGGCCTCCTCACATCTTAAGCAGCCCCAGGAGAATACACAAACAAATTGCTTGACACTCACCAAAAGCCTGGGCCTTGGCTACTTCCCGGCTGTGTCCTTAGAAACAGCTTCAATAGCAACTTGCGAGTTGGAAACTGCGGGCTGCAACAGCATGTGTTTCTCTTCTCACCTAGGTTGCGCCTCAGCCAGCTCTCAGCAGCAACAGCCAGTGCCCAACAACGCGGGCACTGCTGTACAACGAAATATGCCAAGCGACCAACCGATCAAGCAAGCAAACAGCCAAGTAGGCCCGCCAACAACAGGGGTCCCTTATATTCCCACTTTTGTTTCAGCCTATCAATCAATGACTACCCTCGCTGACGGGGGCAAAACATACTGATGGGGCCCAAAAAGACAAAAAAAAAAAAGACTCATGAGGCCAAAAAACAAACAACTCTGAAGCTCGCTGGTCTACCCGTCAGATCGGGCCTCCATGCCAACTGGCGGATTCCTCCACTCAAAACCGGCGCCTGAGCTAAGGCCAAGGCGCACGTCGTTCGCCAGCTTCGCGCCCCAGAGCTGCGCCAGCAAGCCAAAGCTCCCCACTTCCTGTCGTCTGGGCAAAAGCTCCCCTGTTTTTTCAGATCCCCTAAAAGTTGAGAACTTTTCGCGGGTGAAATGCGGAGAAGACACGAAAAGGATCTAAGAAGCTAAGTTGAACCGGATGGCTGGGCACCAAGTTGTTTCGCCCGGGGAAAATCCGCGGGGCAGGCAAGGGCTTGCCATGTGGTTGTGGTTAAAACCGTTTTGGTTGATCCCATTTTGGCAGGTAGGTGAACTCACCCATTTTAGAACCTATTCTAGTGGTTGGATTGAATCGGATGTTCACTGGGGTACGATGTGGCTTTTGACCCATGGCCATTTGGCGCCACAGCATGTTGCTCGGCTTCTTCGCTTGCCCAAACGCCAAGCGAAAACAAAAGGTGAGTCGACGATCGGCAAATGGGCAGGCAAAAAGTCTGGCCGATCTGCAAGCTGGGCTCGTATCAAGGGCAGTCTCGGGTAAGGATTTAAGAGGTATGAAGATTCATATACCTACGTGGCTGTGGGTCAAAAATAGGTGCCCAAAATGAAATCCTGGCAATTGAACCAAGGACTCAAACCTGCGGTTTCTGATGGCGCATTTTTCACCCATACCCATGTAAGCTTCTAAGGCAGTATACACTCTCTTATTCAATGTAACATACCTTATACAACAGACCATACTCCTCTTGTTACATGCCTTACTCATACCTTATACTCAAGGGCCCTTACATGCCGCTTGTAAGGTTTCTATGCACTCATGCCGCATCTAACCTTCATACCTCGAAAGCCCAGGACTGACAATGCCCTTCAGCGCTTACGTTGCTTCCCCTCGTCACTCCTGCTGGCAGCGACTAACGTCGCCGGCGACGTAGCCCGCGCGCGCCGAGCCGCAGTCCGGTTTACTGGGGTCCTCCAAGTCACAAAAGATTTGGCTGCGGTTGTCAAAACCAATGGGATCCCATTTTGGCTGGTAGGTGAATTCACCCATTTTAGGCTTCCTATTTTAGTGGTTGGATTGAATTCTAGATGTTCACTGGGGTGCGATGTGGCTTTTGACCCATGGTCATTTTGCGAACGTTGGAGAACAGCCAAAATCCGAACAACCTCCAAGCCAATGTGCTTTTGAGGTCATATGCCCCAAAGAAACAGACATTTAACATTTGCTTGTGAGCACTGACTGGGATGGGCGCTTCAATAAAGCAGCTGTTAGGGCCAGTTGCCCAAGCAGGCTAAAAGCTCTTGCACTCCTTTGTCTCCTTGAGGCATGCACTTCTGATTGAGAGATCGCTGCTTTTATTGATACTTGCGGATACTCGTGCGGCCAGCGGCCTTCATTTTCGCAGGAAAAGGCAATCTGAGTCATAATCAAAGGCATTAAAATATTCTACCCAGAATCATGTAAAAAGTTAAGAAGGCGGACATCCGCAGCTATTTTTGGCGGGGAGTATCCCTTACCATCTACCCGAGTTTTGAGCAAGTGGCTCATCTGCGTTGCCCAGAGCGCAAGCGTGCCCGCAAAACCGGACCACGAGTGCTGCAAAAACGCCCATCTTGGTCGCGCGACACTGAAGGATGGCAACATGAAGTCGTTCCCCGATGGGGACCTCAAAATGCATCCACATCTGATGCACAGACTCCGCTTCTTCAAGACGGAAGTAGCATTCAAGTCAGGAAACACAAATTGGGACCAAAGCTCTCCGGTCAAAATTTTCATCGGCGCATGCCAAGACACCATACCGCCCCTATGCTGGATATCTTTTCCGTCTGAGCTTTTGACCAAGAAGTTGGTCCCGTCTTCTGTCCGCTCTTTTTATCTCTTTCTTGGATACCCTTCCTCCAACAAACATGGCACCTGTGGGAGGGTACTTGGAAGATCAGTTTCCTTTTAAAGGAACCCCCTGTGTGGTGCTATGTTCGTGGGGGGGAGGGTATCTTTTCGGGTTTTGACCGGGAGGTTGGTCTTCTTTCTAGCGGCCCGCTTCTCCCCAGTGAAATCTGGCCCCTGTACTCTTTAAGCTGCATCTACTCGGTAGGATATGGCTATGGGTCAAACCCAAATCGTACCCCCAGTGAACATCTAAAATTCAATCCAACCACTAAAATAGCTTTTAAAACGGGGTGAATTCACCTACCCCATGGCATCTGATTGGTTTTGACAACAGCCATATGTGAGCCGTGGCCATTCTCGGAAAGCAGCGCGGTGTTTTCCAACTCGTGCTGCTGGAATTGACCATCCCACCAATTGAAGTCAATGGTCAACCCCCAACCTAGGGCTGAAGTCTTACGTCGTTTTTGGAATTTAGTACGGGGCAAAGTGGGATCTTACCAAACCTTGACGTAAGCTTGATTAATCCCCGGAGAAAAGCCAAACTTTCTTGAATTTGTGCTCAGGTGTCCCGCTGAATGGCAAACACCTCCCCTTTGGAGAACACCCTGATAATGTTAACTTTGGATTAATGAAATCCTGGTTGATGAATAGGGGGGTGTCCCCGTTTAGTGGGGATGCATCACTTTTGAAGAAAACACCCCCCAATGGGACAGATTTATTCATCCGGGGTCAACAGTACTCCGCCCGGTTTGTTCCGTTGGCACTCGGTCGGCGCGTCCGGCGTGTGCGCCCAGTAGACGGTGGAGCGCGCGAAGCTCTGCAAACGCTGCGCCGCGTCGCTCCTAAGCCGCACCACTTGGATCCGGGGCGGGGAGCCCCGGGGCGTGGGGGGGGCGAGTTCGCCGCCTCTTTTTTGGTCGGTTTCAAAGCAGAACCAAAGGACCCCACGATGTTGGATGGGTTTCCTTTTGGTTTTCCTTGTTTGGGGGGGGGGGGGGGAATAAGGCCACCCGCCAAAGAAGCCAAGAGGCCAAGAGGCCAAGTAGGGCCCTTATTTGCGCGACGGCAAAAAAATGAAGTCAAACAAGGCCAAGGAATGTCACACAGAACAACGCAACACAGAAAGCAAACGCTGAAGGCCACATAAGAGCACATAATGCGCCAAATAAAGGCCAAACAAAGCCAAAGAACAAAACATGAGTCCTTGAAATAACGCCAAAAAAGCGTTTCACAGTGAGAGATTGTAGGTCCAGTTGGGACGCCAGTGTGAAAGCACCAATGCACCTTGTGTGTGTGTGTGTGTGTGTGTGTGGTGTGTGTGGTGTGCGTGTGTGTGTCTGTGTGGTGGGTGTGTGTGTGTGTGTGTGTGTGTGTGTGTGGGGGTGTGTGTGGGGGTGTGTGCGTGCGTGCGTGCGTGCGTGCGTGTGTGTGGGGGGGGGGGAACAACCACTAAGACATGCTTCAATGCGATGGAAACCAGTCACACCCCCTCATTATGGCTTTCCACTGCAATCCCCAGTCTTGATTCATGCTCCCATTCCACATTGGAAGAGTCTGGACAAAAAGGACCAACTTGACTTTCTTTGCTTGTCAGGCTGGTATTCCTTTGGGCTGAATAGAAACGCGCATCAGAACATCAGGCTGTGTTGGCCCAGGACCTCGCCACACCGCACCGGTAGAATGTGAGTTCCCTTTCTCATCTTTGACTGGGCAAAACGGGCCCGATGGGCCCCTTCTATGCCCAAGATAGCTGGACCAAAAAGGTTCGAGATGATGTTGACGCATACCCTGTGCTGCACAAGCAGGCTGCAGATTACATAATGCGCTTCTCCGTCGGCAGGGGCCAACGGTGTTGAATCAGTATCGCATAAGCCTCCTTAAGAATTGATCTCGCAGTATTGACCCCTGAATTGAAAAACCATAATCAGGCGGTTCCCCTCTGAAAGAGAGGAACCCCCTACGAAAAACGGACTTTCTGAGGTCATTCACCATTGTTCAGCATTACCTCTCTGAAGTTATTCGAATATCAGACCAGCCGCTGACACTTGCAGGCGGAGCAACTCTATGCTGTTCCCCTTTCCGCTTGACTTCTGGAGGGGAGCAAATCCAGGGAGCGTGCAAAAGCGCATCATTTTGATGTTGGCCACTTGCAGCCATTTGCTGCCACTGCAAGTGTATGCAAGTGGCTTCAAGTGGGCAAGTGGCTGCAAGTTGGGGGGTGCATGGCTGCAAGTGGCTGCAAGTGGCTGCAAGTGGCTGCAAGTGGCGAAGCAGTAGCAACACAGGTTGATAAGCAGCCACAGTTTCGGCAAATGAGATAAGTGCATTGCACGAGCTTTCGGCGTACGAGCTGTAGTATCCTTTGGTGGTGAAAAAGGTTTCAGCGCTCATACCCTGCGCAGCCAGGAGCACTACATTCAGCGGTGAGCAGCCCGTGACGGAGCAAAAGAGCCACTCGCATGGCACGAGTCAGCACAAAACCTCACCAACTGCCCGCACCCCACTCGGCAAACTATCAGAGAGGGGTTCCAATCCGGTTCCACCTTTCCAATTCTTGTGCAGCCAGCGCGCCGGGGATCGCGCACTGGCTCGGCTCGGGGGCTCATTCGGGTGTGTTATTGTGAGTGTGCGCGTGACACTTTTCAGTTGTGCTGAGGGTGAGAGCCCAAATGTTGAGTTCCTTGGTGCCTTTTGCAATCCAAGGTCCAACTTTGATTGGCCCTCATGCACAGGCGTAGCATTCCACGTTTATCCTGAGCTTCCCCCCCTGCTGAGGATGATGCTGGTGATAGTGCGAGGTTTTGGGCAAAACTCGTGCGATGCAAGTGGTTTTTTGTTACCGCAAGGGTCGCTTCTCCCAAGTGTTGGGTGATGCTGAAGGTGCTGCTGGTGATGCTGATGATGCTGGGGGTGTTGGTGAGCCTTGTTTTCGGCACAGAAACGGGCTATTATTTTTTTTGGATGAACAACTCTGTCATGCGAGTGGCTGTTTCGCTGCCGCAAAGGGCGATGCTGAGGGTGATGCTGATGATCCTGGGTGCTGCTGAGCCCTGTTGTGCGCAACAACTGTCTACACACCTCACATGTGTCGCCAGAGGCCTTCGCCATGTGAAATCATCAATCAAGCGCAGAGCCCACTCCCAGGCGGCGAATGCATTCGTGGGGGTTGGTTCATGGCAGCTGTGCCCACGCGTGTTGAGTGGGCTGATGGAGTGTGGTCCTCTACTCCAGTATCAAAACTGCACCACGATGGTTGGGGATGCATGGGTAATCAGGGGCACCGTGGCAGCGGCTGACCACAAACAACTTGCGTGCTGAAAATTCAAGAGTGCTGACCTTTGCGCAGCAACATCTTCAGCATCTCGCAGCCGACCTGGGAGAAGAGGCCCTCTGCAAGGGCGAGTGTCTGCAAGTGGCTGCAAGTGGCTGCAAGTGGCTGCAAGTGGCTGCAAGTGCCCGCTCACAGCCATTTGCAGCCACGCAGCCACTTGCAGCCAGCCACTTGCAGCCTTGCAGCCACTTGCAGCCACTTGCAGCCACTTGCAGCCACTTGCAGCCACTTGAGTGGCTGCAAGTGTCCGAACTCAATTCACGCACTGTATGCGACCCCCAATGAGCAATTCTGTTGATGGTGTGCTGTGGGTACCACTTTTGCTTTTCAAGATGCTTTTCCCATCGGGGCAAAACAGCCAACCCTGCGAGGCTTGACATTTCCTTTCGAGGCCCAAAAACATGAGGCAGAGCAACCCAAATAGGTGGCCTTTTGGAAAATAGACAGCCCTGGTAAATGGAACAAAACCCATCTAAAACAGTGCCATCTATTTTTAACCAAACTAACCTAAAAAGGACGCCTATGGTAACCCGCTTGCTTCTGCCGCCAGCTGGCAGCATCTCTGGCGCTCGAGCGGCCCGCGCACTGCTCACCTCCACATTCTTGGGGCACGTCGCGTCGGGCACGCCCAAGGCTCTGCAGTGAGTCAGCAAGTGTCCTGGCGTGAAAGAGGTTGTTTGCGAATTTCCAACAGGGACGCTTTTGGAAGCTGTCGAATAAAGATTGGGACGAGGCTGAGCGCTCAACCGAATGATTCGGACAAGCCAGTTAGATGCCCGGGTCAGATCGAACTCAAACCGAGAGTCCCAAAACATTCCCTAAGGACCTCTCTCACGACTCACCTTGGTTTAGGATCTCCCTCTCCTGTCAAGCCGGTCCCAAATGCATACGCGCCCGTGTTCACCAGGTCGAGAAAAGCCACTTCCTTGCAACTGGTAAAAGGGGACTTCCTTGCACCTTCTTTCCCAGCAAAATCTGAACCCTGTTGGTTGATCGGTCTCAAAGCCGGAAACCCCCTCCTCAAATGATCGAAAAACATATTTGAAACAATAACCCAGAACTCACTGGATTCCTGGGCAATGTTGTGGAAAAAACTTAGCAAGCTATATGGGATTTCCCAGAATGAATTTGGCCTTCTTAGGAACTCCCCCCTCTTCACCCGCTTTGTCCTTTGTGAAAAAAAAACGAAATGTAACAATAATGATGATAATAAAAAGTTGGGGTGTTGTCAGGAAGCTATTGCGACTGGGCCTCAGCACTGGCCCGCAACGCCGCAGCGGCGCGAAGGGGGTTGTCTTTCACGCAGCACACGGCAGGCTCAGGCTCCGCCAAGTCGGCGAGCTCAGCCTCCTCTGAGTCTGACAAGTTTCCCGGGGTCAAAATTCGACCTGAGGGATCCCCCTTTGAAAGGCAAGACTTGACCAACCGATGCCCTTTTCGACCTTTTTGGGGGGGTTTTGGGTTCCCTGATGAAACTTGACCAACCGAGCAGGCAGCAGAGTGCGGTCTGGATTCATCTGAAGTTGTCAGCACTGGCACGCGGTCGTGAGTGCTTCCATTTGGCAAAATAAGCCTTCTCAAGTAACACACAGTGGGTCGTGAGTGCCGTTTAGCAGAATCAGCCTTCTCATTGAGAGAAAGGGAGAACCTAGAAAAGGTGCAATTACAAAAAGTGGAACCCAATTGATGTACATCGTCATACGGTCACTTGAACAAATCATATGTCTTAAAGCCAGTTTGTTCTCTGTGGGGAATATGGAATGACCCTCTTCCTCTGTGCTTGCAACTGAGTCTCGTTCTTCTCGCGCAGGGCAACAACAAGCATCGGAAGCCATGCGCAAAAGACCTTCATGCCTAGCGTTTGGCAGACGTGGTGAATTGCTCGGGCCAAAGGCGCGCATCGTGCATTCAGCTGGGCTGATGCTCATAGCTCTTTAGGAATTGAAGCCAAGCTCATTCCCGGCCCCAGTCAGGGGATCTGTGAAAGGCCGCTGTCAGAATGACTCTCGGTTGCGAAATCTGCTCCCTGCGAAAGGTGACTAACTTTTAGCTGGTTTAATGGAAAACCCAGTAGTTGGCAAATCCTAACATCCTAGCAAAATGCGCCAAAGGATTGATAGACATGCCATTGGCTATGTTCGGCAATATCCCAAAAGGAAACGATCTGCCCTGGAGTACTGAAGATCCCGGATTGATCGGCAACTCCTCCGAGAGCACAACACATGGCAAGTGCAAAAAGAGATGTATGGCTGCCGAGATTTGTACCTGGACACGTGGGTGGATACACGCCTGGGAGCACAGTCCTATGCAAAATGCATCTTGCAAATTGAGCCCTTCCCGCTGACACTGGGATAATCACTCCTGTGAAATGCGCGACATGGTTTTTGAGCTGCCTACGAGGCTTTCCCCGACACAGGGGCCCACACTTCCAAGGCACCCTTCAGCCCACCTATCTCTGAAGGAAAAAGGCAGGAGGCAGTTTTCGGTGTCCATGTTCGGAGAGAAACTGATCAAAGAGAAAGGTCAAGTCGCATCAAAACTATTGAAATGAGTTTACATGTCCAGGGGTTCTTTCATGACAATACTTAAATAAATATTTGTTTAAAAAAAAATGGAACCCTGGACGGACTGGAAAATTGGCCACACCAATTGGGTTTAAAAAAAAAAAATAAAAAAAAAACAACAAAAAAAAAAAACCTGGTCAATTTCAAAAGCAGATCCCGCGCAATTATCATCGCTACAACCTTTTTGTTTGTTCCATGCGGCCATTTGCGACCACGCAGGTCCGCTGTTTCAGCGCAGAGAAACTGATGAAAATAAAAGCCGAGGAAGGAAATTAAACAGAAAAGCCAAACACAACAACACAGAACCAACAACAAACACGGAGAAGGGAAGTTCCGCAGCAGCGCCCCCAATAAAATCGAAGCTCAGCCGGGAGAGAGCCTCAACCAGGCGATCTAAGTCAAACCACGTCAACGAGAGACAAGAGTCTCAAGGTGACCTGGTAATGCTACGAACCGGAGATGCTTTCGGCACTCCTCGCACAAACTAGATATATGAGTGTGGGCTCATTGTGTGGCCCGGTCTGTGTCGGACACTTGGGTCACTTGGGGGGGTCTGGCCCGGTCGCAAATCTCGAACACTTGGGTCACTTGGGTCACTTGGGTCACTTGGTCACTTGGGCCACCTTGTCGGACACTTGGGTCACTTGGGTCGCTTGACCACACGGCCAAGATAAAAATGATGATGAACATGATCAAAATGATGATGACAATGATGATGAACATGATGATGAACATGATGATGAACATGATAAGAAAATGATGACGAGCATGATAAACTGATGATGAAAATGGGGCACAGCTAGGAACAGCATCACCAGCAACACCTGCAGCGGCGACTTGCGTGTTTATGCTATTTTCAGGCTTCTCATGGCCAGCACCACCAGTCGCACCCCCAGCATCTGCAGCGGTGACATGCGTGTTTTATGCAGGCATTCTGTCTCCAGGCTGTGCAGGGCCAGCGGCACCAGTCGCACCCCCAGCATCACCAGCCACATCCACAACATCACCAGCAATCTTACGCAGGAAAACAGTGTGTGCGTCCAAGCCTTTTACCACAGACAATAAGTCGTGCTACAGCAGTCCACACTATGTTGGCCGAGAACCAACAAGTCAAAGACCAAACACTCTAGACAACAACAAGATTCCAAATGTCGTCACTTCTCCGAGCAACTGGAACCCGTAAGGTTTGCTTGCAGCAGCGTGGGGTGAGCATGGGGATATCCAGCCCACATGTATTTTGGGAGTTGTATATAGGGGGGACCCGCGGGAGGTAACAGCAAGCGTTAAGCTCAGCCAGACCTCATCATTTGCTAACTCGCCACGCCACGCCAGCCTGTAATCAATCCACATACCAAAATTCATACACAATCTACATAAAATGCTTCAAGCTACTCATTTTTAAGAATAACTTAAACCATTTCAATCAACCTCGCAACACTTCTTGATGTGTTTTTCACTTGATACATGGTCAGACCAAGCATAACAGATATCTTTCTTCCTACATTTAAAACATCTAAACTACTGCACACCATGTGTAATTTGTAATGTCCTGTTCATCTGGCCGCAAATTGTTCTGTAAGAAATATTGATGGTTGAAAGATTTCTCGTGTTGAGACTTCTTCTCTCTGTTGGTGTCATAATCACACAATTCACAGTGATGCATTTTTTGCCTGTTTGCTTGTATTGTTGCCTTCCCTTTCTCGCTTTCCCTATATTGTTTCTTCCTTTCCTTATGTCACCTGCATTATCTTCTTCTTATTTTTGTCTGTATCCTTTCACCTTTTCAGGGTTATTCAATTTCCATCATGTTTCGTTTATGTTCTCGGCAGTAATCACAAATATAAACCCTGACATGGAATAAATCAGAAGAAATAGCATCTCCACATCGCCTACAAGTTTCACATCTCCGCTCATCCTCTACCATAGTAAGGCATCATCCCTTTAAATAGTTTCAGACACGAAGCTCTGCCGAGTTCGTAAGGTTTCACGACCAAATATTTATCAAGGATTGGGGCAAGCAACCTGTCCTGAAAAAAACCACCAACAACAAGCCACACAAAAAACCAAACAACAAACCACACAACGGACAATTACAGAGCTCTAACCAGTATGTCACTAATCAACTCACTCGGTATTTTGTATAAACCTTCCTGCGTATGTTTTACAAAATGTTCACACCAATGTTCCCTCTTTCCACTTGGTGCCCGCAACATTTGAAGCGGTTGTGCCAGTATGAGGGCTCATCTGTCAAAGCCGATGTTTTGCTCATCAAAGCCGATGTTTTGCTGATCGGGGGCAGTGTTGCCCTTCAAATGCGGACATGTCCAGTACTCAACATCAAATACCAAATTCAATTCATTTTCAGGATAATTATTCACTACCTTAACAATGAATGTGTTATGTTATGATAGAAATTGTTTTTCATGATTCATCTCAAACCAAATGATTGTATGCCAAAACCGTAAAAACACCGGTTTAAGTTATGAATGCCGTGCTTCAAATATGTGACTGTTTCGCTCAACACTTTGTTAATATTGTTTTCATTTATAGTTTCATAGTTATCATCATTCATGTCGTCAGAGTAGGAGGACACGGATAAGGTTGAAAACCTGCCTTCTTCATGTTCTCGTTCATGATGCCTTGTTCTTATGTATAAACAAACATCTAATATGACTTGAACATCGGTTTCATATTTTGTTTCCTCATGGATTAAACTTAATAATTCATCCTTTCGTTTTTTTGATAATACGTTCAAGGCTGTCCATTCCAAATGGCACTTTTCTCTCAATAGCATATTCTCTTTTAACTAATTTCTGTTTCCTTCCATTTACTTTTGTGTATTTGTATATTGTTTGTGGTTCCGCTGTTGTAATTTTGTAATTGGCCTGTATTCGCTTTAATGCTTTGTTATGGCATTGTTATATTCTTACATATTCTGGTTGTCCAAATTTGTACGACACAACATTGCTCACCATTTCAACAGGCAATTTGTTCAAAATCTCCATCACCTAACTAATACAAACTTATATAGGTATTAATATTTTAAACCCTTCTTGATCTAAAACTACATTTTTAACATCTCGTGACATAATAGAGGATTCAAAAATCACTAACATGGTAATACGTCTGACCCAATTTAATTTGTTATTTGGTTTTTGTGTGAATTGCGTTTGTCCAGTGACTTGTCCGCTCCTTTTTACGAATCGTTTTTTCCTCATTACTCTTTGCCTCTTTTTCATCCGCTTCATCCGCTTCAACCCTTTTGACAAGCATGTCTTTGTATGTTCTAATAAATCTCTTTCCAAAAGCAGGATGTCCTCTCGTGGTGTGTAATTCAATTTTTCCTCATCAAGATAATCTGTAATAACAGAACTAAAGAAACTTCCCTTTTTGTCACTGTGTATCATTTTGGGGTTTCCAGCCATATTCTTAATGCCTTCCATCAATCCTGCTAATGCATCTAGCAGTTGCTTCCTTTTAATAGGTATCACGGTAGCATATTTACTAAATATGTACACTAATATAGATCCAATTCTAAACGTATGATTTTCCAAATCATTTTGAGAAAAAAACAAAGCCAATTGAAATTCCCAAAAGGCATGAAGATCAACAAAACTATTCTGTCCTCGCATTTTCTTTTTCTCATCAACATTCTTTTTGAAGAACTCATTCACATCGTCCGCAGTAATTGTTTTGTTTTTCTGTCTGGCATCTTGTAGTGTTACTGCTTTACTGCCACAACCGCTTCTATCATAATAAAATTCACTAATGATTTTTCTTATCCAAGTGCAAGAACTAAGAGTCAATTATGTTGGTAATAATAATTATAGTTTAAGTTCAGGAAAATGACTTAATTGATGACTATGAAAGGTTTGATACATCTTACCCCTCTCAAACATCATCTTCAAAATAATATTAGTATCTCTCACTGTATTTTTAACATTACACTTTTTTCAATGTATGACTTGATGTTTTCTTTTACATTACTGCCCTTTACTATAAAGCAAAGACCATAATATGTATGGTCTATCGTTTCATAGTTTCTTACTAATCAATAAAAACTGTTTGACAGAATCATAAGTTTGTTTTTCATAATCAAACAGAAATATTATAATATCGTCTTCAACCTTTCTTTCACACAACGTTTAATATTCAAATGACACTTGATTGAGTCTTGATTATATCTCCATTCCTGACAACTCTTACATTTGTCACCTTTATCCATTGAATAGTCAATAATATTATTCACTATTCCATTTGGTAAACTTAATTGTTATCGTTCCAATTT